AAATAGAGTGAGAAACTATTGGGGATGGCAATGCTTAAACAGGGATAGAGTGGCAAATGGTGATGGCGATGAGTCACAGGGTGAGGGATAACCAAGACTAAGAATGTGTGAAGAAGGCACATGAAAACCCCAAATTTAAAAAACAAAAAAGTTGGGCAGAGGTCCCATGCACAGGGCTATGGAGGGGTTGGTAGTGGTGGGGGTGTGTGGGAAGGTAGTGGAGGTGGAAGTGGTGGTGGTGGTGGTGGTGGTGGTGGTGCCAATTCTGATCCCAGAAGCAAAATTAAGATCCCAGGGCCAGCTGCAGGACACCTCTCTAGGAATTGGTGACCAGTGAAGCCAAGAGCCCTTGCTGTAAGTTGGGGTTAACTGCAAGAGAGTAGGAGGCTGTAATCACAGTAAGGAACAGCAAGGTAGAGGGGCTTGAGGGGAGTGGACCCACAAAGAACATCAGAGGTGGCTAATAGCAGACCTCTTCTTAGGATCATGAGACAAACCACCAAGAAATTGGTGCTGATGAACATTTAGAGCAGGAGCTTCAAAAGGGAAGAACATGGGGGGGGGGCAGGGAGTAGGCGATCTCTACAGTAAGCCACAGCCCCAAGTTCAGTTCAGCTCCCTACCTAGCCCATGCTGGACTTGGAACCTAGTAGGGTTTGTCCTTGAAGGAAGGAGTCCACAGCACCATGGCCATTGGGTAATGACTCCCTTAGTCCTTTCCCAGGACTCAGCAGATGTTTCAGACAGTTGGACACAGGACCGGAACTGACTGGGAACCGCAGACCCACAGTCTCATTTTGACTGTCCTGCTTTAGTGAGGGCCTGTGGGGTCAAGTCGTACAGGAGTCTGCCTAATGTCTGGCTTACAGTGAGTCTCTGGGTCTGTGTTCCCACCCAGCTGGTCTGTCTCCAGTTCCTCAGTAGACTGTTGGATAGCTAGCAAGTGTGAGCTCCCCACACCCTGGAGTTGTTTGTGGGGTCGGAGCTATGGTAGTAAGAAAAGATGCATGGAAATCATGAATACTCCTCCCATGTTGCCACCCACCACCCAGGCACTCAACTGAGATGTGATTTAGAAGTAAAATTTAATCTCATCAGGTAGCAGGGAAAGATAGACAGAAACAAGGGCCACCATGAATGGTCCGGAAGGCACAGCTGCACAGAAGGATCAGGACACAGATCCTGGGGAGGTGGAGCACAGCTATGACATGTGTGGTAGTCACGCACCCAGAGAAACAGAGCTGGTGTATGGCTGGGTCCCTTGAGACTCATTTCTTGGCCATTGGGTACCAAATCCCCATTTGTTCAATGCAGTGCATTATGGGCAGCAGAGTGTGGGTAGCTCTGGTCTGCAGGAGGCGATGAGGTCCTTTTCCTAAAACAGGGGGGGCTGTCCTCTACAGTGTGTCCTGCACCCTTTGCTCCATATGAATGAATGCCCTTGGCAGCCTGTCTGTGATGAGTGTGATCTCAAGGGTTTGCCCATTTCACCTGCCAGATATCCACTGACAGGAGCAACCGTGGTACAATCTGAGAATGAAGTACATTTAAGGTGGGTGGTGGAGTACAGAAGGCACATCCCTAAGTTAGAGCTGGTGCAGTAACACAGTCTACCCACTCACCTCCCTCTGCCTAGTCTCCTTATGAGGCAGTGGTTCTCAACCTTCCTAAGGCTGCGGCCCTTTAATACATTTCCTCACGTGGTGACCCCCCAGCATAAATTATTTAGTTGGTACTTTATAACAGCAATTTTGCTATTATTATGAATCGTAATGTAAATATCTGATATGCAACCCCCAATGCGGTCGTGATCCACAGGTTGAGAACCACTGTTATACAGACAGCCGGAGACCATGTGTGGGAACTGTGGGAACTCCACTGCCTCTGCAGTGCACTGCTCCAATAGCATCCCTGGCTTTCTCAGACAGTACTGGAGAGGCCAGCCCTTGCCTGAAGACAAAGACTCTCTTCCTCTGCCCAACTCTCCTAGAGCCCTCAAGAGTTCTTTTGTTTCCAAGGCTGCTTAGGATGTCTCAGGGCCTCCCAGCCCCTCTCTTTGTGCTCCTTTGTGGTGATATATTGTGTACCCCAATAAAGCATATCTGAGGACCAGAAGATAGGCTAACCACTAGATTAGACATAGAGGCCAGACAATGATGGCACATACCCTTAATCCTATCACTTGGGAGACAGCGATCCACCTGGATCTCTGCGAGTTCAAGGCCACCCTGGGAACAGAGCCAGGCAGTGGTGGCACACACCTTTAATCCCAGTACTGGGAAGCACACACCTTTAATCCCAGGTAGTGACATCTGGGCAGAGAAAGGTATATAAGCCGTGAGGAAACAGGAACTCATTCTCTTGAGGCTGAGCATTTCATGGAGGTAAGAACGTGGCTGGCTTGTTCTGTTTCTCTGATCTTTCATCTTTCACTCCAATATCTGGCTCTGGGTTGTTTTTTTTTTTAATTATTATTAAGACAATTTAGCAATTCATGTTAAACTTCTTCAAAAATGAATTCACAAAATCCTGGCACATTTAATACCATCAGACACATCTAAATGGTTAAAGCCAAGCACTTCACTCTCTGGACCTTGGCTTGTCATCACTGAATTTATAATCCAAGTTGCTGCTGGAGAGATTTTAACTCATTACATCCAAGTCAGTGTTCAGCTCACCCCCAAGTACCATCAGCAGGGAACTAGTTTACATTCTTGAATTTTGGGGGCCAAAGGAATTTAAATGACTGTGTGATGCACGAGTTGGAAGATGGATTTCCTTTTGTGTCAAAAAATAATAAAATAAACAACAGTTCTCCCAAAACCATGAGTGTGTAAAGAAGAGCACAGTATTGCCTGCTCCCAAAACAATGAATGACATAAGCATGCAGTGATGTGGAGGATCCAAAGATTATAAAGGCAAAATTCACAGGTTGTTAGGAGACACTCATCATTGGCTGCTGCAGGACCCATTTCACAGGAGTGAAATGTGTCAGACCACAGCTAGACTGACAGTTGCTAAACAGATGTCCTTACAGGTGCATCTGTGTGTGTGTGTGAGACACAGCAGTGGTCTTTGTGTAAGGATGTGGCTCTAGAAAGTTCTTGTGATGGTTCTTGCTTGGTATAGTTCTTGGTATCTGGCACACATACTGTGACCTTCATGGCTTAGGAATTGGCCTAACTAGGGCAATGGGAAATAAATAAATGACCCATGCACATGCAGAAAATCTGGGATCAGCTGAGCCTTGTCCTCTGATGGGGACACACAAGCAACAGCCCAGAAATTCAGCACATTTATTTTATACACCTGAATCAAGCAAGCTTAGTTGATCTCCACAGGGTTCTCCTAGGGGAGCAGTCTCAGATTGTAAACATCCTGGATGAGGAAGCTGCAGTCGACATTTGGGGGCATACACTGTCAACATCCTCATGTGGACCAGGGGAAGGCTTTGGCATTTCACTGAGCCTGAGGCATTGGGGTCCTTGACATGGCCATGCCCATGTCAACAACGTACATTTACCCAGAACTTCTTCCATTCTCCATACATACATACGATCTTTTTCAGGCCTTCCTGACTTTTTTATTAATTTGACACCATTGTGGTTGTGGTAGTATTCACGGAGACTGCTCTCCTAGGACCTTTAGCAGCCCCCCCCCCCATCTGCTCCTGTCCAGACCTACCCCTTTCCAGGAGCTGCAGTGCCTGTAGTTTCTCTGGAGCCTAATATCTGCCTTTTTGTTTTCTTCCCCCATGACCTGCTGCCCCAGTGCTGGCTGGGTTCAGTGTTTGGATAGGAAGAGCATCATGTGTATATAGAAGTCATAAGCCCTAGGGCCCTCTGCTACTTCCTCCCACCCCATAATACAGAGGAGCCAAAATCTTATCATATTCTTACACAGAAGCAAAATCTTATTGGATCATGTATCAAGTAACAACAATCACTTGATGAGTGCAGAAAATTGTTTTATTTATTTTATAGTCCTTTCAAATAACCAGAGGCTCATGGTAATATCCCCATTAAAGATGTGTAACAACTGTGGAAAGTTAAGCCAATTCCTTCGGATCAAAGAAGCAAGCAGACAGCAGATTTTGAATTTACTAATCTAAAGCATCCTGTGTTGCCATCGTCTTACTAAAGGTGTGTTAAAGGTCAGAGGAGTCAGGGCTGGGCAGCTAGCTCAGTCCATAAGGAGTGTGCCATTCTTAGGACTCACATACATGCCTGGTGAGCGTGACAGCCTTCCTGAAATTCCAGGGCTTGGAAGGCAGAGAAAGGGGATCATCAGAGCAAGTTGGCGAGTTCTCTGCTAACTGGTGAGCCCTGGGTTTCATTGAGAGACCTCCCCCTTTCAATGAATAAGGTAGAAATCATTCCTGGGCTATCTTGATGTTAACCCCAGGCTTTCACACTGGCACACACATACACGCATGCTCCCTCATACACGTGTGGTTCCACACATATGAACATGCACACCACATACATATACATGCAAAAAAAAAATCAGAAGAGTCTTTATTCCAAGGCTCTCAGTGCCAGATCCTCTCTTCCCCTCAAGTCCTCTGACAATAAGCAGGGTGCAGGCAGCACACTAACCCTTCTTTCCCCACTGGGGTCCCTGGATGCTTAAAAGCAGAGACTGGCCCTAAACCTGTGTCCCTGCATCCCAGAGAGGGATGACCACCCAAATTATTCGATAAACCAATGATGCTGAGGGTAGCTTAGCATCTCATCTAAGACAGTGTAATATGAGGTAGAGTTTCCATTCCAGTTTGATTTATTTATCAAGTGACTAAACTTCTGTTTAAGTGTGTTTGGACTGCAAACATCTTTAATACTGAAAAACACAGGGAGTTATGAAAGCTTACATGCATGTGCCCCTGCACACCAGGAGGCATGATGAGGAGAAGCTAACCTGTCCCTGATGCGTGGGGCTCAGGTACTAAATAATGTTGCTGGATTTAATGCTTAGGGTTTTTTTTTGTTGTTGTTTGTTTGTTTTTTCTGTTTTGCAGTGCTTGATATTTATTGAAAAGAATGCCATTGCTTTGTCCAGGTACTAGAGAGGATCTGGGCTAAATGTCTGTTCACTTGTTTTTATTTTAGTACTACTTGTCCACATGTCCACATCTGAGACTGCTGCAATTCTGTAAGAAAAATGACAGCTGTGCAAAACTGATGCATAGGAGAAAAAGAAATGTCAGCATTTCAACTGTCAAGCAGGCACATCGGTCTCCTGCAGCAGCAATCTGGCAGGGTAGAGGAGGAACCTGGGTGTAGGTACAGAACTAACCAGGCTGTTAAGACTGGCCCCTTGAAGGGTTGGTGAGCTGTCCAATCAAAGTCTGAATAGGTGTGGCCAACTCCATCATCTTCTTCTTGGTCCTTATCCCAAGATGAGATGCAGATGAGATGAGATGGGTGGTGGTGGTGAGGTCCTGTGGATGGCTGCAGATGAGATGAGATGGGTGGTGGTGATGAGGTCCTGTGGACGGCTGCAGATGAGATGAGATGGGTGGTGGTGGTGAGGTCCTGTGGACGGCTGCAGATGAGATGAGATGGGTGGTGGTGGTGGGGTGACAGGAGACATTTCCGGGCAGATGCAGGATGGCGATCCAGTGGAAGCCAGCAGCGGGAATGCAGCTGGTCTGACCAGTTCTAACACAGTCCTGGACAATGGCTGGAGCTCAAAACACAGTTCAGATTAGGGGAGAAGAGTACCTGGACTGGTTAAAATTGAACACTGTGAGCTTCAGAGGAAGGCCCAGGCCCAACTCAAGCACTTGCAGCAGGTAACTGGAGCAAAGACAAGCACTAAAAGGGACAAAGGAGCCGAGTGACTGGCAGGGAAAAAGATGGCAATGCAAAAGGGAGCGCAGAGGCGCTAGGAGTACAGCAGGTGGGGGTGGGGAGGAGGTGCCATGCGGGGGCCCTCCCCCTCTAGGCCTAAGTGGGCTCAGGGCCTAGTAATCAGCCTCTTAAAAATCATCATCATCTTCGTCGTCATACCAGCCAAAACACTGCTTCATCTCTTCAACAAAGGCCCGATAATCACTGATGACGGGGTTATCCATCTCGATGTACGGCACCACCCACTCCTCGGCTTCCCCGGTGAGGAGGCTGATCATGAACGCCACTTGCATGGCATCGTTGCAGAAGAAATCGTCATTCACAATCATGTAAGACATCATTTGCATCAAAAATTTGGGGAGCCAGGCATTCTCGCCGTCAAACTTTGAGGGGAACCTCACCGGATAGCTAGGCAGACGTACGTGGCGCAGCAGAGTGGCCCGCTCACACAGGAGCCACCCCAGCTGTTGGATGAGCTGGTTGTTCTCCATGATCAGGACGCCTTGTCGCACCAGAAGCGCGCGCAGAAGCAACAACTGCTCATCGAACATGGTGAACCGCTTGGAAGGACTCGGGCTCTGGGCTCGGCTCGCCTGGGCTCCACGGAGCTGCTCACCGACGCTTAGATTTTAATGTCAGTGTAAGAACTGCACAGCTGTGAACTTGAGATATTTATATATTTCCTGGCAATGCACGTATGTCAGAATCTAAGTGGCACAGCAGATCCGCAGTGGAGCCCCGAGAAGCAGTGCTTGCACCAAGGACCAAAGCAGCCTCACCCTGTCAGTGTGGTCCTCATTAAACAATACTGCAAATGCCCTCACGACTTCGGATGACAGTGTGATTCGCACAATCCCTAGACTTGCAGGAAATATGGATTTCGTAAATCGATCACATATTTTCCACGGCAGCCCAAGGAACAGATTTGTTCCTCCCATTCTAAATGTGTTTGGAGTGAAATTTCTTGGGGAAAGCCAGGAAACAGACCACATGCATTAGCTTGATGTATGAAATGTTTGTGTTTATGATTGGAGCCTGTTACTCAAGCACGCTGGGGCAGAGCTCTGCGTGCACAGGTGGGAGCACTTAGTGGGAACTGTATCCTCTGCCACACACATGACTCCCTGGGAGGGAAGATTAGAATTCCCAAGGCACGGAGTTCTTTGGAGTTTCACCTACAAAGTAAAGCCAGGCAATCGCTTATCAGGGCAGGTTGATTTCCAAGATCTTCCTGTCACTAAGGGTCACGATCATGCTCGAGGCATCGGTGTGTGGTGTTTTCAGGTACCATCTACGTCAGCCTATGAGGTCTGCTCGTCTTTCCCTCCTAACCTAACAGCAGCAGTTTTTAAAATCCCATCTTCATAGAGCCATCACAGGAGGTTGTGTTGACTACCTGAAGAAGAGAATAAAAGAAAAATATAAAACTATGCTTGCACTCTATGTTCACAGTCTGGGTGAAGTTATCAAGTATTCAGTTAGCATATGTATTTCTGTGGAATCCAGTAGCTACACATGCTTCTATAGTTGTAGTGCTTTCCAGGACTTGGGATGTTTGTTGATTCTGGGATGTCTTTGCCTGTTCCACTCTGCTCACCTAATGATTTTTTTAACAGAAGAAAAGTGTATAATTATGGTTTCATTCTTTTCATAACATATTCATATTCATTAGTAATTCAGGATGTTGTTATTATTAGCATTTGCTATTTATTGAGCATTAATTATATGCAAATATTTGCTAGGCACACACACACACACACACATATATATGTATATATATAATATAATATATATATATATATATATGCATCCTTTGTATTTCTCTCTTTTCTAAGTGAGAATTATGTCTCAGAGAGACTATGTGAATTGCCAGAGGTCACACAGTTAGGGATGAAGAAACCTGGTAGTGGATTCTTGAAAGCACTTCATTCTCATCACTGCTAGCATGGAGTCTCCCAAATAAATCCAAAGCCAGTTGCTCAGAACAGTTATTCAAAGGCCAACTGCCCAACGTCTTTGATCCTCAGGCATCTACCCCACATCACTGGTTGACTTGTTCTGCTCTGAGTCCAAGTCTGCTTTGTAAAATACTGCCAGCCCTTAAATCCCTGGACTCCAGGTTTATGGATTCAACAAGTTCGGGTCATGTGCTACATAGTTATCCATGCAACAGCTGTATCTGTCCTAACCAGGAAGAGCTTGTGTTTGGCATCATTTCTTAAACAGAACAGTAAGACAATCTTTACACAGTAAGGTCTCACGCTGCACCCACAGTTTGAAACGTGGTAGAAAACTCGTGAAAAGATGAACATGGTTTACATGCAAATAATGTGCTATTTTATATGGTATGGACTTCTGGGAAATTTTGAAGTCAATCTTCTATAGATACCGAGGAAAGACTGTTAACTCAGCCTCTTTAAGATGCATAGTGCTTGGCATTCTGGAAAATTCCAAGAATTCACAGACTCTACTCATACCTGGAAACATGGTGGAACACATGGAGTTGAGAGCCAGCTGGGGTCCTGTCGGCACTACCTAGCTGACCTAATCTTAGAGATAGTAGTCAACCCATGACAGTATCAGGGTGTAGCTGGGTCCCATTTTCATGTACTGTGAGGCCCAGACAACAGTGGCAATCTCACTCCCAGTGAACCAGGCTCCTCCGAGTCCTTGACTATTGGCTATTAGGATTCTCTAGCAGAATGGAATTTATGGAATGAATATATATATATATATATATATATGCATATTTGCATACACATATGTATACATAATCATAACACACACATATGTATGAATGATTTATTAGAATGGCTTACAGGCTATGGTCTAGCTAGCCTAACAATGACAATCTACCAATGAAAGTTCCAAGAATCCAGTAGTTAAGTTCATGATGACTCAGCTGGTCTTCAGTATACATCAGAATCCTGAAGCAGTAGGCTCTAATGCCAATGAAGGAATGGACTTGCCAGTGAGAGCAAGCAGGCAAAGAGAGAAAGCTTCCTTCTTCCATGTCCGTGATAGAGGCTACTAGCAGAAGGTACGGCTCGGATTAAAATTGGATCTTCTCATCTCAAAAGATCTGGATAAAAGTCCCATCTTCCCACCTCAAGACTCAGACTCAAAGTGGGTTTTCCCACTTCAAATAATTTAATTAAGAAAATATCCCTCACAGGTGTACCTCAGCTTCTTTGGTTTTAGTTAATTCTAGATGTAGTCAACTTGACCACCAAGGACAGCCATCACAGCTGTATGACTTCACAGTCTTCACCACAGTCCCAGGTTAACAGTATCCTTTCAAGGATGGAGAAGTGGAGGTACAGAGTGAGGAAGCAATGTCTTCCCATCCCAGTTGGAACAGCCCATTCCAACCCAGGTTATTGGTTCCAGTTTCCCACCTTTAGTGTTGGTACCAGAACCGATGGTCTAACGCTGAAGCTGGAAGCAGGTAACTCTCACTCAATGCTAGTTACATTGATCAGGTACAGATCAGGCACTACAGTACAGATCAGGTCAATGAAACTGTGCAGTCTCTTCCCTGCTCCGTAACTGAGGGCTAGGGTCTAACTGAGACACCCGTGGGTTTGGTTTAAACACTGCTGCCTTAACAGTTGTCAGTCTCCTGTCTCTGTGCCCACGCAGGTGGGTGGCTCTGTCTGCCTGTCTGTGCTCACTCCTCCATGGCTTTATTATGCACTTCCTCCAATTCCGAGGACCTCCTCACTGCCTTCTGTTCTTCTTCCTTTCAGATGTCAACCCATCAGAGCTTCTTAGTCCAGGCTCAACTCAAGACCATTTTCTCCAGAAAGCCTTTGTACCACAGATGTGGATAATAAAATTCCTGTGATGAAGATCAATGGATTACTCTTCTCTTCTGTCTTCTCAGAACTTGATACTTACGCTCCTGTTCAGGAGTCATCCTAATCTGCTGTTAGGGTGATCTGCGAACTGTCCTAGGAGACCTACCGGGTCCCCAGGAAGCCAAGCCCAAGTTTACCTTCAGCATTGGGCCAGCATTCCATACATGCACAATGCCACCGAATAAAGCCATGTGTGAGGAAACAGGAAAAGTCCTCGAAGATGTGGCACACCCACATGGTCTTTCTTTTTAAATCACATTGCAGAAGAGAACACTGAAGGTTTGCACTCCACATGGAGGCTTCTAGGGCCTTATTCAGAGGAGACTTTCAAATGTGGCCATGGTAACATTGGTTTGTCCTGTTAGCCTTTGATAGGAAGGGATATTAGGAGGGACTTTATAGCAATGCCATAAACAGAGTGTAAACAGGCCAGAGGAAAACAAGTGTGACAACCAGGGGTCTGTTTATTTCTTTTATTTATGCTCTGTCGTCTGCTTTCAAATTAATTTCTGGATCAGAAGTTTTAGAGGCAGTTACTGTGCTAGCCTGTAATTAAGTGTATGGGCAGAGCCAGGGTCTGCTCTCCCTGGGGTTGAACTGAACAGTAAAAAATTTAATCAAATCAGCAATTAACAAGATTACCCATGACTCTAAATGCAGCGCGTGTCACCAACACTCCATCTTTCAACGCTTCTCATCTCCTGGCTTTAGATGGTTTGGTTATAGATCTTCACAGAGAAGGTCCTGCCTCCCTGCGGTTGGGCTGCTTCTTTAACCCTTCAGTGTGCCCTTGGTTGTTCATGGAGCAACTCAGGACATGGCCAAAGCAGACACTATTCCAAGGGGATTACAACTGTTCTAAAGTCTCCTCCGAGAGCAGGAGGCTGCAGTTGTGAGGTATGGCTCCTCTACAGTGATGTTCACTCAACCCAGGTACTGCTTTGCAGGAGACCTGGATGGGCTAGGAGGTCTCAAGGGGCAATGTAGGTATCAGTTCTTCCATGACCTCACAGCAGCAGACAACGTTATCTGCACAGCCTTGGAGCTACCCCTCAGAAGGGAAGAGACTATCTCAAGCCACCCACTGGCTATAACCAAATGGTTTACCCTGTGTTGTGTCTAAATATCATGAATTTATTGCTCCTAGGTGTGGAGTCTGGGAGTCCAAGTTCATGGTAGCAGTAGGTTGGATGTCCGATAAAGCCTCATTTTCTTCTTCTTCTATCCACACATGAAAAACAAAGCAAAACAAATAAAAAAGCTCCTCCACTCCCTTGGACCTCTTTGGTGAAGTCATCAGTCCCACTTATGAACGAATTATTTCTTAAAGGTCTCATCTTCAAATATCGTCTTAGTGGGAACTGGGCTTTGAGTTGGAAAACTCCGGGTGTCACCGTGACAAAAGAGCAGAAGTATCAACCTAAAAGGAGGAGAGGCTTGTTTAGATTGACAGTTTGGAAGTTCAGTCCATGGTCAGGGGTCTCTTGTTTGGGGGCCTGTGGCAAAGAAGCTATTACTTTAGGACTGTGTGGCAAAAGAAACTGCTCATTTCATGGCCACTAGCAAACAAAGATAGGAAGATACCAGGGTCCTGACACTGCCCTCAGGGTGTGACCAGGCTCCTAACACTGCCTTCAGGGGCATGGACAGGCTCCTAAGACTGTCTTCAGGGGCATGGCCAGGCTCCTAAGACTGTCTTCGGGGGCATGGCCAGGCTCCTAATACTGTCTTCAGGGGCATGACCCCAATACTTAGA